CGCACCCAAATGGGGCAGGGATCAAACATACAACCAGGTATGTGCCCTTTACTGGGAATTGAATCCTCGACCCCTCCGTCTAAGAGCCAACACTCTAACCACTAAGCCAAACCGGCCAGGGCAAACATCTCACATTTTTTAATGAGTCACTGAAAAATTGGAATAGATTGAGTCCTTATGCACAGTTCTAATAGAAAACACTTCCTCTCCAGCACTATATAAGGTACTGGGAAAGATGGAGATTTGGAATAGAAGATAACAAGATTAATAAAATATGATGCTTGCCCCCAAGTTCATTATGTAAAGACACAGAATATTTCTCACTAACTATGAAAATGACTAATATTTCTTGAGCATTTATATGTACCAGGCACTATTCTAAGTCTTTCATATATACTAACTCATTTATTATTCACAACACTTATGAAGTAGGTAATTATTATTATAATCTAAGATAGTCTGTTGTAAATATTTGTAAAGAAGGAATAATTATGATGATATGAGATTAGAGAAGTCTTTAGAGGGAGAAATGACATTTAAACTTATTCTTAATTTTAATTTTGTCCTTTGTAGGATTTTCCTGTTAGAGGAAGGGGCTGTTCTCAATGAAAAGCATTGCATTAACAAGTGCACAGTGATAAAAAAATAATGTGTTTGGGCGTGAATAGGGTGGTACAAACTTTTAGATGACTTTGAAAGCAACATTAAGGCATTTATTTGGTCTTTACTAGGCAAAGGGGAGCCATTAAAGATCTCTGATCTAGAGAAATGATAATAAAAAATAACATTTTTTGTTAAAAATATGGTTTTATTTATTTGTTTGTTTATTTATTTATTTTTATTTATTTATTTTTTATTTTAGAGAGGAAGAGAGAGAGAAACAGCCATGTGAGAGTATAACATTGATTGGCTGCTTCCTGCAACCCTCTACTGGGGAGATTCAGTCCAAAACCCAGGCAGGTGCCCTGACCAGGAATTGAACAGGTGACCTTTTGGTGCATAGGATGATGCTCAACCAACTGAACCATACTGGCCAAGGCGAGAATAATATTTTTAGAAAGAAAACTGGTATCAGTGCTGGAGGTCAACTGAAGAGCAGAAAGATAAGAGACAAGGAGATCAACTTAGGAGGCTTTTTCAAGTCTTTTTTTTTTTTCTTTATTGATTTTAAAAAGAGAGGGAGAGAGAGAGAAACATAGATAAGAGAGAGAACATCGCCCTGGCCGGTTTGGCTCAGCAGTTGGAGCATTGGCCTACGGTCCAGAGAGACCCGGTGAATATGGCTCAGTGGTTGAGCATCGACTCATGCACCAAGAAGTAACTGGTTCGATTCCCAGTCAGGGCACATGCCCAGGTTGTGAGCCAAATCCTCAGTGGGGGGCATGCAGGAGGTGGCCAATCAACGTTCCTATCTTTCTCTCCCTCTCCCTTCCTCTCTATAAAAATCAATAAAGAAAAAAAAAAAGTTTAATTAAAAAATTTGTCCTGGACGGTTTGGCTCAGTGATTAGAGTGCCGGCCTGCGGTCCAGAGAGACCTGGGTTCGGTTCCTGCTAAGAGCGCATACCTCGGTTGCAGTTTGTCCCCGGCCCTGGTTGGGCCGTGCGAGTGGCAGCCACTCGATGTGTCCCTTTCACGTCGATGTTTCTCTCTCTCTCTCTTCCTCTCTCTCCCTCCCCTTCTATCTGAACAAAAAATGGAAAAAAATGTCCTCAAATGAGGGAAAAAAATTTAGAAAATTTATACTGTAATCTATGCTAAAAAGGTAAATGCTGTTTAACCAACTTTATTCCAATTCATAATGTATATGTGTATATTTGATATGTGTATTCATATGAATACATATATGTACTGAATGATAGATTCAAATATATCTTACTGTGGGAAGTGGTCAAAAACACTTGATAGATCAAAGTTACAACTAAACTACAGAACAACTATCATTCAAAACTGCCTGAAATCAAGCTGAATGGAAGTCCTACAACTACGGAATTAAAGCAGCAGCCACATCCAGACTGGTGCCCCGCTCAGGGTTCCAGTGCCAGGAAGAGAATCCCCATAACTTCTGGCTGGAAAAACCAGCGGGAACTGAGGCTCAGGGAGGCTGAGGCGGCTGGAGCCCCAGGCAGCTCCTTAAAGGGCCCGCGCACAGACTTGTTGGACTCTCTCCCTCTGAGCTTGGAGGGGAGGCAGCTTGAAGGGCACCAGAGACATACAGGGAAGAACTAAGCTGTTTGGCGTGAGGAGGCTTTCTCCGGGACAAACCAGCTATCAGAGGCCTTTGTTCCTTTGGTGAGCCCTTCCCTGGGGCGGCAGACAGCCACCGTATCAGCTGCTGTATCTGGGACTCCAGCAACCTGGCTCACACTGGTAGCCCCGCCCTGGTGACTCCCTGAGACCCCGCCCCGCCCCACCCAACTTTCAGGTCCACCCAAGCTGTTGCCACTTGCTTAACCATAGGATTGGCCTGTCGTGGATCCTGCTTCAGTTTTTTCTAAATTCTTTCAAATGAGCAGCATCTAGTCTCAGCGAGCTCCATACCTCTTGTTAAGTAATACACAGAAATAAACACAGGGAAGCAGCCAAAATGAGGAGACAAAGAAACAGGTCCCAAATGAAAGAACAGAACAAAACCCCAAGAAAAGAACTAAGCGAAATGAAGATAAGCAACCTAACAGATGCTGAGTTCAAAATACTGCTTATAAGGATGCTCAGTGAACTTAGTGAGGGCCTCAATAGCATAAAAAAGGACCAGTCAGAAATTATGGATGCAGTCAGAATTGAAGGAGGCATTAACTGAAATAAAGAATAATTTACACAGCTTCAATAGCAGAGTACGTAAATCCAAGAAGCAAACCATCGATTTGGAATATAAGGAATCAGAACAGCAAAAAGAAAAAAGAATCCAAAAAAAATGAGGATAGTGTAAGGAGCCTCTGGGACAACTTCAAGCGTGCCAACATTCGCATCTTGGGGGTGGCAGAAGGAGAAGAGCGAGAACAAGAAATCGAAAACCTGTTTGAAGCAATAATGGCAGAAAACTTTCCTAACTTGGTGAAGGAAACAGACACACAAGTCCAAGAAGCAGAGAGAGTCCCAAACAAGATGAACCCCAAGAGGCCCACACCAAGACACATCATCATCAAAATGCAAAAGGTTCAGGACAAAGAGAGGATCTTAAAAGCAGCAAGAGACAGGCAGCTAGTTACCTACAAGGGAGTTCCCATAAGGCTGTCAGCTGATTTCTCAAAAGAAACTTTGCAGGCCAGAAGGGAGTGGCAAGAAATATTCAGAGTGATGAAAAGCAAGAACCTACAACCAAGATTACTCTATCCTGCAAAGCTGTCATTTAGAATCGATGGCCATATCAAGACTTTCCCAGACAAGAAAAAGTTAAAGGAGTTCATCACCACCAAACCGTTATTATATGAAATGATGAAGGGTCTTTTTGAAGAAAAAGATAAAATATATGAACAAACAAAATGGCAATGAATACATATCTATCGACAATGGAATCTACAAACAAAATGAACAGGTAGAACAGAAACATTCTCATAGATACAGAGAACATTTTGTTGGTTGCCAGATGGGAGGGTTGGGGGAATGGGTGAAAAAGGTGAAGGGATTAAGAAGCACAAATTCATTGCTAGACTGACAAACCTCAAAGGGAAAGGGGTCGGGAGGGTGGGAAGAAATAAACCAAAGAACTTATATGCATAACCAATGGACACAGACAATAGTGTGGGAAAAGGCGGGAGGGGGCGGGAGTGGGGAGGAGGGGGTCAATGGGGGAAAAATATGGAACATCTACAATACATTTTACATTCAACAATAAAGATTTAAAAAACAACAACAACAACAAAACACTTGATAAACACCATCTAAGGGGGAGATGATTGGAGTCTAAATTAAAGCTGTAACTCCTGGAAATGAAAAAGCAACATATTATTTGATAACTCTTTCAAAGAGTAGAGTTAACAGGAGTTAGCGATGAACTCGGATATAGGGTGTGAATGAAGTAAAGGGGGAATTATGGTAGGCTAAATTATGGCTTACCAAAAGATACCTACATCCTAATCCCTGGAACCTATGAATGTTGTCTTATATGGGAAATAAGTACTTTGCAGATGTGAATAAATTAGGGATCTTAATATAGCGAGAGTATCGTCAATTATCCAGGTGTTCCCTAAATGGAACCACAAGTCTCCTCAAAAGAGAAAGACAACACAGACAAAAGAAGAGAAGGCAATATGACCATAGAAGCAGAGATTGGAGTGATGTAGTCACAAGCCAAGGAATGTTGCAGCTATTAGAATCTAGAAGAGGCAAAGAACAGATTCTCCCCAAAGCCTCTCAGTAAACTGATTTCAGACTGCTGGCTTCCAGAACTGTGAGGGAATAAATTTCTGTTATTTTAAGCGATCAACTTGCAATCATCATAGGAAACTAGCATAAGAGTCAGAGGCCTTGGCAACTGGGTAGGTGGTGATGTAACTAACAAACATAAGGAGCAGAGGAAAAACAAGGATGGTGAGAAATTAAATATTAAATATAACTAATATGAAACACAAGACAAATCTGAGCAAAAAATATATAACAGCCCTGGCTGGTTTGGCTCAGCAGTTGGAGCACTGGCCTGCGGACCAGAAAGTCCTGGGTTCAGTTCCCGCTAGGGGCACGTACCAAAAAAAAAAATATATATATCTATATATACACACACACACACACACACACACACACACAAATCTGATTTTTATTTACGATAGCTCAATTCTAAGTCTATAAAAGCTTTAAAATATATTTAAAATGTTCAGATTTCATGTATCTGTAATTTTCTTTGGATAATCAAACTTAAGATAAATGATTTATATATTCTCTCTGTCATCTGACAATTACTGTGGTTAAAACAGGTGCTGGCTTCTGGGATTATATAGTGTCTCTGGAATGTTTATTCTAATAACTAGAAAATCCAAGAATCATCTGTTATTGTAGATCACTTACTTAAGCCATTCAGGTTGGCAATTTTTTCAATGCAGTTTGTAGACAGTGAAAGCTTCCTAAAAAGAACAAAGGAAAACTTGAATTAATATGAAAAAAATTTAAATGGTATATCAGAAATTATTTCTCTAGTGCCCACAGGAGATGATATTTAAGTTATACTTCCTTTGGAATTCTTCTTTTTCCCTTCAGACTTGGCATGTATTCCTTCATTTTGAAATCTTCATAGTTTTTTCTGATTATAAAAGTTAATACATACTCATTATAGAAAATTCCAAGAAAACCTTTTTGAGGGCAATTTGGTATTATCTATTGAATATTTTAATGTGCCCGGCTGGTGTGGCTCAGTGGTTAAGCATTGACCCATACACCCAGAGGTCTCCGGTTTGATTCCTGGTCAGGGCACATGCCCAGGTTGTGAGCCAAATCCCCTGTGGGGGGCATACAGGAGGCAGCCAATCAATGTTCTCTCTCATCAATGTTTCTATCTCTCTCACCTTCTCCCTTCCTCTCTCTCTCTCTAAAATCAATAAAGAAAAAAATTATAATAAAATAAAAAAATATTTTAATGCATGTGTTCTTTGACCCAGTAATTCATTTCTAGGATACATCCTATTGAAATACTAATGCAAATGCCCAAAGTTATATGAATTATTATTGACTGTATTATTGTAATAACAAAAAAATGGGTAGCCCTGGCTGGTTTGGCTAAGCAGCTGGAGCGTTGGCCTGCAGACCAGAGAGTCCCGGGTTCAGTTCCCACTAGGGGCACATACCAAAAAAAAAAAAAAAAAAAATCTATAAACATCCATCAACTGAGGAATACTATGCAGCCACTAAAACAAAGGAGATCGGGCTACAGATGCTACATTGAGAAGATGTCTATGATATGTAGTTAAGTTTTAAAACCATCTAGCGAAACAATACATTTTATATGATTCCCTTTTGTAAAAAGCAGAACTATATATGTGCATTATGAAGATATTTATTTTTCTCATGTGTTAAATCTCTCAGAAATGTATATTGTAAGAAATCATATGTAATTCTAACCACCCCACACATTCCCCCTGAGGTAACTACTTTTTTTTTTTTTTTTTTAATCCTCACCCGAGGACATTTTTCCATTTTTTGTTCAGATAGAGTGGGAGGGAGAGAGAGAGAAACATCGACGTGAAAGGGACACACTGAGTGGTTGCCACCCGTACAACCCTGCCAGGGCCGGGGACAAACTGCAACAGAGGTACGCGCCCTAAGCAGGAACCGAACCCACAAGTCTCTCTGAACCACAGGTCGACGCTCTAACCGCTGAGCCAAACCTGCCAGGGCAGTAACTACTTTTAATAGTTCATATATATTTATCTAGATTTTTTTTCTATATACTTTTGTTACTTTATTGATGTTTAGAAAGAGAGAGGAAGGGAGAGGGAGAGAGATAGAAACATCGAAGAGAGAGAACATAAATTGGCCGCCTCCTGAATGTCCCCCACTGGGGATCGGGCCCACAACCTGGGCATGTGTCCTGACCGGGAATCGAACCAGCGACCTCTTGGTGCATGGGTTGGCGCTCAACCACTGAGCCACACCAGCCGGGCTCTATATACTTTAATTATATAAAAACAAATTTCTAAAGGAAGCATAATTACACATTCTTAGTCTTCCTTTTTTGACAAAATGTTTAATACCGTAGTAAATTTCATGCAAAAAAATATAATAAAAACTACTCTTATTGAATACTTAATGCATACCTATTCTTTTTTAAAATAGTTTACATATGTCAACTATTTTAACCATCACAACAATCCTGTGAAATAAGTATTATTATAATCCATATTTTACAAACAAGAAACTAAGGTACAAAGATATTAAACGATTTGCCAAATATTACGTAGCCAGAGAGTGGCAGAGCCAAATTTAAAATTCAAAAAGTATGACACTATAACACATAATCATATCTTTCTGATTTGACTTGAAGAGGAATTATTCATTTTTTTCACTTGAAACAGCCGAGTCAATTACTGTACAGTGTAAATTACTGATCAAATCTGCATATTTCCTAGTCATCCCCCACTCCTGAGAATCACTAGTGAAAAACTGAGTTCCTTAAATCTGGGAATATGGTGGGAGAATAACTCTTTAATTGCTGTTTAAACAACTAGAAGAATGAATAAAGACGAGAACTTACTCGCAACTAGCAAGCATGGACAAGGATGCATCCATCTTCTCTATAGGAGGAATCTGGGCATAAAGCTTTATCTCTTTGGCTTCAGATGACTTCTGACTGGTTTTCTCTTCCTGTGATAAAATTAATTTGGAAGATAATGATCCCTGGTTTAATTTTATTTAGTTTTATTTTTTAAATCATCACCCGAGGACATTCTTCCATTTATCTTCAGATAGAGTGGGAGGGAGGTAGGGAAGGAGGGAGGGAGGGAGGGGGAGAGAGAGAGAGAGAGAAACACTGATGTGAGAGAGACACATCAACTGGCAGCCTCCCGTATGAACCTAACCAGGGCCAGGGACCAAACCACAACTGAGCACAGCATGTGCCCTTGACCAGAATTGAACCCGAAACTCTTTGGTCCGACGGCCAAAGCTCTAATCGCTAAGCCAAACCAGCCAGGGCTATTTTTATTTTTTTAAATATGTTTTTATTGCCCAGAGCTGTGGCTCAGTGGTTGAGCATTGACCCATGCACCAAGAAGTCACTGGTTCGATTTTCTGTCAGGGTACATGCCCTGGTTGTGGGTCAAATCCCCAACAGGGGTTATGTAGGAGGTGACCAATGATGTTCTCTCTCATCGATGCATCTATCTCTCTCTCCCTCTCTCTAAAATTAATAAAGAAAAAATAATTAAATATGTCCTTATTGATTTTTTAGAGAGGAAGGGAGAGAGAGAAACATCAGTTGGCTGCCTCCTGCATGCTCCCTACTGAAGATCAAGCCCACAACCCAGGCATGTGCCCTGACCAGGAATCAATCCATGGGACTGACACTCAATCCAGTGAGCCACACCAGCCAGGTGATGATCCCTGGTTTTTGGGGATCAAAATGTCACCCAAGGACATTTTTCTATTTATCTTGAGAGAGAGGGAGGGAGAGAGACAGAGAGAGGGAGAAACATAAACATGAGACACATCGACTGGTTGCCTCCTGCACAACCCCGACCAGGACCGGGGACGAACCACAACCGAAGTACATGCCCTTGACCAGAATTAAACCTGCAACTCATTGGTCTGAGGGCCAATGCTCTAACCACTGAGCAAAACTGGCCAGGGCAGTGATCTCTGGTTTTAATGTGGAGTTGAAGGAGGCCAGAATTTCCCAAGGCTTTTCAATCTTTATTTCAAAACAATTATTAGAATTTAGTAATTCTGTGCATTCTTCACAGTTCACTTACTCACTTTTACTACTGACTCTGATAACCAGGCTTCTACATAGCCAACTAAGATAATTTATTGTTAGGTCCCAACCAAATGGGAAAAAAGGAGAAAAGAAAATAACTAATTTCTGTAATATTTAAAATCCCTTTAGAGCCTATCAATTAATAAACAAAAGCAAACAAAGCAACAAAAACACTTCCTGGGAAGAACTGCTTGCCCCTAAACAACCTTTCCTTAAATATCAGATTCAGATTTGTAAAAGCAACTGTTTTCTTTTCTTTTTTTATCCTTACTTGAGGACATTTTTCCATTTATCTTTAGGCAGGAGAGAGGGGGAGAGAGAGAGAGAGAGAGATAGAAACATCCATGCAATAGAGACACATTGACTGGTCCCCTTCCCTCCCTCGACTTTTTAGAGAGAGAGGGAGGGGGAGAGAGAGAGAAACATTAATGTGAGAGACAGACATCGATCAGCTGCCTCGTATATGCCCCTACTGGGGGTCGAATCCCAAACCAGTGCATGTGCCCTGACAGGAATAGAACCAGGACCTCTCAGTCCATGGGACGATATTCAATCCACTGAGCCACACCGCCTGGGCTTGTCTTTCTTTTTTTATACACAATTCAGTCTGAACTACAACCCAAAAAATACCAAGAATTTTGGAAGATATTCTTTTTATAACACAGTGTATGCTGCCCAATAATATTTTCTAAGTATATCACAACCAAAAAATTAATATTGATACAATCCACTGATTTAAATCAAATATTCCAAATTTCACTTGTACTCATTTGTACATATTGGTGTGAATGTGTCTGTATGGGTGTATTAAGTTCTACACATTTTTATCACCTGTGTAGGTTCATGTATCCTCCACCACAGTCAACACAGCAACATAGTTCCAATACCATGAAGGTCCCTTTTACTGAATGGTCACATTCAAACAACTATCTAAAAATTCTCCTTTTATGGTTTATAAAAGAAGTAAAACTCATATACTCACCCATCTGGCTAGGGCTTCTTTGATTGTTGTTGCTTTTGCCTTAAAAAGAGAAGAAAAAACAAGGCTGTCTTTATTGATGTAATCTGTTGATTCAATTTCATGCAATAATTATTAGCCTTGGTATCTACCATTAAAAAAATTAACTTGTTGCCCTGGCTGGTTTGGTTCAGCGGTTAGAGCATTGGCCCGTGGACCACCAGAGAGTCCTGGGTTGGGTTCCCGCTAAGGGCACGTACCTCGGTTACAGTTCGTCCCTGGCCCTGGTTGAAGTTGTGTGGGTGGCAACCAGTTGATGTGTCTCTCTCACATCAATGTTTCTCTCTCTCTTCCTCTCTCTCTCCCTCCCGCTCTATCTGAAGATATATGCAAAAATGTCCTTGGGTGAAGATAAAAAATTAATTAATTAATTAATTAATTAACTTGTTTCTTTGAGGCTTTATATGCAAAGAGTTTTTTTATTTCCTGAAATCAGGATGATTTATTTAAATACCTCTTCAGGGAAATTAAGGGAATCATGATGTAATGCCCATATATATAACTCTCACTTGGTTTACAAATATATATATATACAGCTTTTGCCCAGATGGTGTGGCTTAGTGGTTGAGAGTCAACCCATGCACCAAAAGGTTGCTGGTTCAATTCTTGGTGAGAGCACATGCCCAGGTTGTAGGCCAAATCCCCAGTGAGGGGCATATAGGAGGTGGCCAATGATGTTCTCTTTCACTGATGTTTCTCTCTCTAAAATTAATAAAGAAAAAATTTTTTTTAAATATATATATAGCTTCTGCTTTGGCCAGTTTGGCTCAGCAGTTGGAACATCAGCCTGTGGACTAGAGAGTCGCAGGTTCAATTCTAGTCAAGGGCATGTAGTACCTCAGCTGCAATTCGATTCCCAGCCCTGGTCAGGGTCGTGCGGGAGGCAACCAAACAATGTGTCTCTCTCACATCGATGTTTCTCTCTCCCCCCCCTCTACCCTCCCTCCCTCCCCCTCTGTGTAAAGATAAATGGAAAAAAATATCCTCAGGTAAGGATTGAATAATAAATAAATATATATATAGCTTGTAATACTTGGTATTAAAATATGTAATTTCATTGATTCTAAGATCTACATCTTCTTTTACTTTTAAAAGAAAAAAATTTTTCCTTTATTGACTTTAGAGAGAGAGGAAGTGAGAGGGAGAGAGAGACAGAAACATCGATAAGAGACAACATCAGATGGCCGCCTCCTACATGCCCCCAACGGGGGATCGGGCCCACAGCCTAGGCACGTGTCCTGACTGGGAGTTGAACCAGCAACCTCTTGGTGCATGAGTTGATGCTCAACCACTGAGCCATACTGGCTGGACTTCTTTTACATTTTAACATCTTTGAAATTCGGATGCCATTTCCAACCAGGAACAATTTATAATTGCAGTGGCCAGGTGGCAGTGGTGAAGTTTTAGAAAACCAATAACCATTTTATCTCATGTACATAGATTCCTTTTTATGTTTACAAAGGATGATATATAATAAAAGTCTATATGCCTAGCCCTGGCTGGTTTGGCTCAGCGGTTAGAGCATCGGCCTGCGGTCCGAAGAGACCGGGGTTCGGTTCCCACTAAGGGCACGTACCTTGGTTGCAGTTTGTCCCTAGCCCTGGTTGGGTCGCAACCACTCCATGTGTCCCTTTCACGTCGATGTTTCTCTCTCTCTCCTTCCCACTCTATCTGAACAAAATATGGAAAAATGTCCTTGGGTGAGGATTAAAAAAAAGAAAAAAAAATCTATATGCCTAAATATGTTTTTTTTTAAGAATATTTTTTTCTTTATTGATTTTTAGAGAGAGAGGAATGAAGAGAGATATAGAAACATCAACAAGAGAGAACATCGATTGGTCACCTCCTGCATGCCCCCCACTGGGGATTTGGCCCACAACCTGGGCATGTGCCCTGACTGGGAATTGAACCGGTGACCTCTTAGTGCATGGGTTCATACTCAGCCACTGAGTCACACCGGCTGGGCATGCCTAAATATGTTTAAAAGAACTCCATCAATAAGTACAAAATAAAAATTCTAAGTGATAAGAAATGTCATAGTTTAATTCCAACTTATTTTTCTTTCTTTGTAGAACATAAAATAATGTGTATTTTATAATTAATAATATCTTAGCTTCCATTTATTATGATATTTAAAGCTTTAAAGATAAGCAAAGAAAGACATCCTTTGGATTACTGCTAGAGTTCCTTAAAAAAGAACCTTAAACAAAAACAAAAGGAAAGTTTGAAAAGTATATAGCATTATGTCTAGAAAGTAAAGACATACTAATAAGTCACCCTTGAATAAAAAAAACTATACATTAAACTAAAATAATAAAATAAAAGACAGAAAGTCAAAATTTGAGAAATACATATAACACTTAAAAGTAAATTTACAGCTTTAAATACATTCATTTGAAAAGACAGAACAAGAGATAGAAAACAAATAAGCTAAGCATTCAAGATATTTGAAAAAGTGCATCACTACAAACCCCAAGAAGGCACAAGAAATACAAAGAAGTCAATGAGAAACAGAGGTGGGAGGGCGGGGCAATAATAAAATGATAAGTTAGTAAGTTAGTTTGTAAATCTCTGGCAAACCTGATTGATCAAAAAAGAGAGATATACAAGTTAAAAATATAAACTGAATAAGGAGAAATAACACAGATACCAAAGGAATTTAAAAAATAAAATATTATAAAATATTAAAGCAAATACATGGTAATAATTTTGAAAAGCTAGACAAAGTATGCATTTCTTAAAAAAAAAGAAAGAAAGAAAAAGAAAAAATGTGCCCGAACTGTCACAAGAAGAATTACAAAATTTTAATGGACCAATAATTATTTAAAACATTAAAAAAACAACTGAATTGTTGAAAGTATTACAGATGTCCTCTTTTTTCCCCACTGACCCCTCCTTCCAGCTCCCACCCACCTCCTGCTTTCCCCAGCCTAATGTTGGTGTCCACTGGTTGTACATACATGCACATGGTTTATCTCTTCCCACCCTTCCCACCCTCCATGTACTGGATATTGTTTAAGCAGCTATTAAATAAAAGTCACAGTATACCCCAGACAAAAAAAAAAAAGACAACTGAAAATGTCCTGGCCTGTTTGGCTCAGTGGTTAGAGCATCAGGCCCCAGACCAAAGGGTCTTGGGTTCAATTCCTGGTCAAGGGCATGTTCCTGGGTTGCAGATTTGATCCCCCACCTGAGTCGGGGCCCTGTGGGAGGTAGTCAATCGACGTGTCTCTCTCACATCAATGTTTTTCTCTCTCCCTCCCTCCTTCCCTCTTTCCCTTCCACTCTATCTAAAAAAAAAAAAAAAATCATTGGAAAATATCCTTGGGTGAGGATTAACAAACAACAACAAAAAGATAACCAAAGAGATTTACCCTCCTTTTCCTCCTCCCCTAAAACTCCAAGCATAATTTTACAAGTGAGTTCTACCATGCTTTCAAGGAACAGATATTCCCTGTTATACAAATTGATTCAGAAACCAGAAAAAGAAGGAAAGCTGCCAACTTATTTTATGAGGCTAGAGTAACTTGATGCTATAATGAGATAAGGAGCCCTCTTTATTTCTCAACACAGATTTGAAAAGCTTGGATATATTAGATCTCCAAAGCCATGGTATATAATGAACATGATCAAGAAATGCTTATCCCAGGAGCATAAAGTTTGTTTAACAACAAAAAAGGTATAAATGTAAATCATTTATTATTGGATTAAAGGGGGTAAATCACATTTATTTCAATAAGTGCAGAAAAGTTGGCAAAAACAAAAACAAAAACATTAACAGGAAATGCACAGAAACTGAAATCCAGATGAGTAACAAGAATATCATAAGGTATTTGAACTCATTAAGAATGGGAGAAATGCAGAATAAAACAATGGAATGCTAAAATATATCCTCAGGCTGGCCAAAGTTGATAGGTTGGTGAGAATGAAGAGAAACGGGAACTCTCATGCATTTCTGAAGGAAGTAAAAACTAGCAAAGCCATTCTGGAAAGCAGTCTGGCAGTGAACAGACCCTATGACTCTGCAATCCCGCTCCTGGGTATATTTCCCAGAGAAATCCTTGCATGGTCCTTAAAAAGACACATATAAGAACACTTTCAAGTTGGAAGCAATCTAGCTGTCTATAAATTGGTTTATAAGGTCACTAGTTCCCCTGTAGAGAGCAGGAATCAAAAACTGAAATGCTTAAAGAACCAATGGGCATCATTAATGGATAAGGCTGGCCATGTAAACAGCCTCTACTTGGCTCTAGAAAACTGTTAATAGGTGGGACTTGAGACAAGAATTACCTTAATATCACATTTCTCCAAATATGAGAACTCTATTAATGGAAGTAACATCCTTATTTTATGTACCATTAAGAAAAAATGTTGCCACAACCATCAAAACGGAAAGGAATCCCACTATATGGGAGACTATAATCGCCAATGATGCATCAGATAAGGGGTTAATTTCCAAAATATATAGTGCTCATACAACTCAACAAAAAGAAGACAAAGAACCCAATTAAAAAATGGGCAGAGGGCCCTGGCTGGTTTGGCTCAGCGGTCAGAGTGTCAGTCAGCCTGTGGTCTGGAGAGACCCAGGTTCGGTTCCTGCTAAGGGCATGTGCCTCGGTTGCAGTTTGTCCCCGGCCCTGGTTGGTCGTGTGGGTGGTAGCCACTCGATGTGTCCCTTTCATGTCGATGTTTCTCTCTGTCTCTCTTCCTCCCACTCTACCTAAACAAAATATCGAAAAATGTCCTCGGGTAAGAATTAAAAAAAAAAAAAAATGGGCAGAGGACCTAAATAGACACCTCTCCAAAAAGGACATACAAATGGCCAAGAGACATATGAAGAAATGCTTAACATCACTAATCCTCAGAGAGATGCAAATTAAAACAACTATGAAGTATCACCTCACACCTGTCAGAATGGCCGTCATCAACAAATCATCAAACAACAAGTGTTGGCGAGGGTATGGAGAAAAGGGGACTCTAGTACACTGCTGGTGGGAATGCAGACTGGTGCAGCCACTGTGGAAAACACTATGGTGTTACCTCAAAAACTTAAAAATTGAACTGTCATTTGACCCAGTGATCCCACTTTTAGGAATATACCCTAAGAAACCTGAAACACCAATCAGAAAGAATATATGTACCCCTATGTTCATAGCAGCACTATTTACAATAGCTAAGATCTAGAAACAACCCAAGTGTTGAGTGGATGAGTGGATTAAAAAGCTGTGGTACATGTACACAATGGAATACTATGCAGCTGTAAGAAAGATCTCTTATCCTTTGAGATGGCATGGAAGGACCTGGAGAGTATTATGCTCAGCGAAACAAGCCAAGCAGAGAAAGACAATATCACATGATCTCACTTATTTGTGGAATATAATGAACCAAAGAAACTGTTGAACAAAATTAACCCAGAGACATAAAGGTGGGGTACAGACTGACAAGCTTCAGAGGAGGGGAGGTTGGGGGGCAAGAGATAAACCACAGAACTTACATGCATGTATGCATGACCAATGAACATAGACAACAAAGTTGGGGATGGGGGAGGGGGAGTAGGGTGTTAATGGGGGAAAAATGAGAAACATCTGTAACAAAAACAAATTAATAAATAAATAAAAAAGAAAAGAAAAAATGCTGCCAATTATGACAGTAATACAAAAATGTTCAATACAAAAATGTAAAAAAAAGTGTCTGATGGTGAAATATAGTATTTCTGATTTTCCAGAGAAGCCAGAAATCTGTTTAGTTGTGAAATATGATCATTTTCAAGACACTGGAAGTTTTATTTTTTTTAAATTAAAAAACTCTGTGGGGCCCAGGCCGGGCAGCTCATTTGGTGAGAGGGTCATCCCAATATGCCAAGGTTGAGGTTGCATCCCTGGTCAGGACACATTCAGGAGTCAACCAATGAATGCATGAATGGGTGATACAACAAATCGATATTTCTTCCTCTCTCTAAAAATCAATCAATAATATATAGATATATGTATCTGAGGAAAGTCCTTTATAAATAAATAACACATTATGTGGACCTGTATTTCCGGAGGTCCCCAGAACTAACAATTTGCAACCTCAGCTAGCTTCATCTAATTACTGGTTCTGATTCTTTATTTGAAGATTTTCAGTAATCCTCATGGTTCATTCATGCTTTCAGGATTTAGAGCTGACTGTTTCTTCACCTGAATATAAATGTAGATTCCAGGACTTTTTACTTTCCTTGGCAATGATTTTAGCTAAATGCCTATGGAATAAAGTAAGGAAGGGAGGGGAACTACTTTAAAAAGAGTGGTATTTAATCTTGTGGTTGAGGGTGGGCATGACTTCCTTATCATTTTAATTTCTTGGGCTCAATTTCTACCCACTTATATAGCATTGGAATCACAAAAGGAAGACAACTAATTATACTTATTCTTCATAAATATCTCCACCAGGCTGGACAATCACATCCTTTGCTAAGTAGATTTGGGTGGGTCTGTAACTAACCAACAGCATTCCTTTTCAAACTACTAGTTGGAACTGCAAGTATGTAAGCAAGACAGTGAACATTTTAAGTAGGAGTTGAGGAGCATCACTAGGTAAAATCATTACTTCATAAAGGTTTTGATTGAGTAGACAGATGATAGATTTCAAATCTAAGGCAGTATTTCTCAAAGTGTGGTGGGGCGCCCTCCAATTTCAGAGTAACTTGAGGTGCACTTTCAAAATGCACATTCTTGAATCCCCCATCATATTAAAAACTCATAATCTGTATTCCAACAACCTCACAGTGCTTAGACCCACTAAAATCATACTTTATGCACACTGAAATTTGAGAAACGGTACCTAATACATTCTATCAGACTGGGTTTTACAGCGTTACCTAATAACTGCACTCGCAGTCATCAGGACGACCTGGGCACATCGCAGGTTTCAAACACTGCTGCAATGGTGACACGCATTCCTCTCGTAACCAGCTTCCCCACTCCATCTCGCCAGCGGAGAAAGTACTTGTACGTAAAAGATATCCTTATTCACCCAACTCCCTTCCATCACCTTCCCGCTCCAATCCGCTCTTTTTCGAGAATTTCCTACACTTTGCCCTCCCTTTTCTTTGCCAGAGTCCCACCACATTATCCCAACCTCTAATCCGCCCCAAACCACCGTGGCCCCAGACCACCCGTCTTCTGTCTCGCCCCAGGCCTGTGACTCCACGGAGCCAGCATCCGCTCCCGGCTCCCTTCAGCTGTTCAGGGACACCCTCCGCCCTCCCAACCCTCTACACTGTACAATCACCCCTTTCCATTTCCAATCTCTTTTCAGCTCTGGCTGCAAGGCCTGAAGGTACTCACCATTCCGGCGGTTGCTACTGTCACTGCTCTGGTTGCTAGGGCCCGCCGGGGTCGGTGCGCGTGCGCACTTCTCGGAGTTCTCAGTGAATCCCTACCCCCGCTGCAGTCCTTTCTCTCCGCCCTCGGGTGGCGCGAGCGGGGCATTGTGGGACGGCTCGGCGGCCACCCGGGTCCTCCTGCCCCGCTGCCAAGTACTCCCAGTAGCAGCCGCGCGCCTGCCGGTGAGACTCGGGGCTGGAGAGCTTGATTGCGCAGAGTGGTTAGAAGATGTGCTTTTCCCTACTGAAAGCAATTTCAGCTGATCTGGAGTGACGTTCCCTACTAAAGTTTAAAATTAAAATCTCCTTGTAACAATTGCCCTTCCCGTAAAAGGACTTGTAAAATTCCCTTTCCCTGCAGATTGCCTTTCCGCGTCCTCTTTGGACTACCTGCTGTAATTCTCCTGGCGATCCCACTGAGGCTGCCCAAGCTAAACTCGGCCGACTTTCTTCAGTTACCTTCCTCCAGGGTGTCAGAGGCAGCTGAAAACATAACATGTAGGTTTCACATAGCCGAGTCTTTTTACTCCCAACTTTCAAATTAGCCCAAAATTGTAAAATACAATTGCTGGAGTGTGGAGAAATGGGATGCAGTTAATACAGCCTTTCTGGAGGGCTGTTGGCAATAAGTATTAAAAGTGTCCGGTTTGGAGCATCCGTCCGTGGTCCAATGAGTGGTGGGTTGGATTCCTGTGGAGGGCATGTTCGGTCAGAGGGCCCTGCGGGAGACAACCAGTAGATGTGTCCCTCTCACCTCTCTCTCTCTCTCTCTCTCTCTCTCTCTCTCTCCTCTCTCTCTCTCTCTCTCTCTCCCCCTCCTACTCTATCTTTAGATGAATGGGAAAAAATGTCCTAGGTGAGAATTTAAAAAATAATAAAAGTGTGGAGGGTTCAGGCTGTGTGGCTCAGTGGATTGAGCCTTGTCCCATGGACTGAGAGGTCTGGGTTTGATTCCCAGTCAGGCCACATGGCTGGGTTGCAGGTTTGATCCCCAGTAGGGCTGTGCAGGAGGCAGGCATGCAGGAGACAACCAATTTGTTGTTTCTCACATTGATGTTTCTCTCTCTAAAAAAAAAAAATAATAAATCAAATAAAAGAAAAAAAATTCCAGCCCTGACTGGTTTGGCTCAGCAGTTAGAGCTTCGGCCTGCGGTCCAGAGAAACCTGCGTTCGGTTCCTGCTAAGGGCGCGTAACTCGGTGTCAGTTTGTCCCCAGCCCTGGTTGGTCCTGCGGATGGCAGCCACTAGATTTGTCCCTTTCACGTCGATGTTTCTCTCTCTTCCTCTCTCTCCTTCCCACTCTATCTGAACAAAAAATGGAAAAATGTCCTCAGGTGAAGATAAAAAAATAAAGAAAAAATTCCAGCCCTGGCCGATTTGGCTCAGCGGTTGGAGCATCAGCCTGCGGACCAGAGAGTCCCGATGTTTCTCTCTCTTTCCTCCCCCCTCCCCCCCGGCTCTCCCTCCTGCTCTATCTGAAGATAAATGCAAAAATGTCCTGGGGGAGGATAAAAAAATAACAAACAAACATATTTTTTTAAAAATTCCTGCTTATCTTTAAAAGGTCTGAGGTGGCGGGAGGTCACATCCATCACGCAAGGCCAATGTAGAGCAAAATGGCTTAATTGCATACACCTAGGTGCAGGCGGGCTGAGCTGAGAAGGATGCAGCCTCGAATTAGGGTTTGGGTGTCGGTTATATACCCTCCTTTTAGTTTCCGGCAGTTCTGCTGATGTACTTTATCTGGCCATTGTCCACCTTGCAGTAGGGCTGGTCTGGTATCTCGTCCAGCATCTGCTGGGTTATCCATTGCCTTGCAGACAATCCAGATAAACTTTATTCCATACTCAACAAAAGGCTGAGCCAAGGTCATGCAAGCAACACAATTTCCACAGTTTCCGCCTTTTGCAAACTTTTACCTATACCCTTTAAAACATTACTAACCCTTTCAATCTTAAAAAAAAAAGTGTGGATGAAAAAGGGGCCACATACTAAACCTGACAAGCTCAGGGGAGGACTGCATGCGGCCTTACAAACTGAGTCCAAAAGTAACCATATACAATGGTTTGAAATAGAAACTTTCTAAATAAAAGCAGGTTGTGGCAGGTAGTCTTGTCCTAGGCCAGTATTGACCCTGAACAAGGTCAATCTTTACTTTAGCTGAGCCTGTCTATTGTCTTTTTGCATCTAGGATAGCATACCTTTGGAATAGTGGGTTAATACCTCCCCCTTTTTTTTTCCAGACTCCTCAGGGCACAACCACTGCACTAGAGCAGAAACTACAAATCCCTTCTGTTATTGTTATAGTGCTAATTGTTGACTGTTAGCTATCCTATACCCACAGATGTAAAAGATGTGTCTGTTTTATTTTAATCCAATCCCAGAGATGTCTCTGCTTTGCTTTCTCTTGTCTCGCTAATCTATCACCAATGAATTTCATGGAACCCCCTTAGGTATTGCCCTTTGATTCTGATGTATAAAATAAGTGGTAAAACTGCCATTTTCTGGAGAATTTTCTCAATCCCTTGAGATTTTTTCTCCTGGCAATTGTTGTCAGTTTGCCTCAAATAAACTCATAAAAAATTCTTACAGTTTGGGACGTTTCTTACACTGACACAAGCTTTCAAAACTTTGCACCTCTGGCCCTGGCTGGTTTGGCTCAGCGGTTTGAGTGTCGGCCCACGAACCAAAGGGTTGCAGGTTTGATTGGGTTGCAGGTTCAATCCAGGGACCCAGTCAGGGTCCTGGGGGAGGCAGCCAATCAATGTGTCTCTCTCACATCGATGTTTCTCTGTCTCCCTCCCTCCCATTCTATCTATATAAAAAAAAAAAAAAAAAAAATCAATGGAGCCCTGGCCAGTTTGGCTCAGCGGTTGGAGCGTCGGCCTGTGGTCCAGAGAGACCGGGGTTCAGTTCCCGCTAAGGGCACGTACTCCGGTTGCAGTTTGTCCCCGGTCCTGGTTGGGTGGTGCGGGTGGCAACCACTCGATGAATCCCTTTCACGTTGATGTTTCTCTCTCTCTCCCTCCCACTCTATCTGAACAAAAACCAAAAAAATGTCCTCGAGTGAGGATGGAAATAAAAAAAATCAATGGAAAAATATCCTTAGGTCCTCGGGGATTAACAAAATATAAACAAACAAAAAAATACTGCACCTCTGTAACTCATCAGTTCCACTTCTAGGACTTCATCCTGAAGAAATAATCACACAGGTGCACACAGATATATGTTCAAAAAAAATTTTTTTTTTCTTTATTGATGTTAGAGAGAGAGAGGAAGGGAGAGGGAGAGATAGAAACATCGACGAGAGAGAACATCCACTGGCCTCCTCCTACACAGTCCCACTGGGGTTTGGGCCCACAACATGGGCATGTGCCCTCACCAAGAATTGAACTGGTGACCTCTTGGTGCATGGGTCGACGCTCAGCCACTAAGCCACACCGGCCAGGCTATGTTCAAATTTTTATTTTACTTTAACATTTTTTAATTAAATTAATTAATTTATTTTATTTTATTATTTTATATTTTATCCTCACCTGAGAACATTTTTCCATTCTTATTCAGAAAGAGCAGGAGGGAGAGACAGAGAAAAACATTGACGTGAAAGGGACACATCAAGTGGTCGCTTCCTGCATGACCCCAACCAGGGCCAGGGACAAATCACAACCAAGGTTCGTGCCCTTGACTGGAATCCAACCTGCGACTCACTGGTCCGTGGGCCAACACTCTAACCGCTGAGCCAAACCAGCCAGGGTCTATGTTCAAAATTTTTATAGTAAAAAGAAAACAACCCAAATGTCAACAAAAGAGAATTGGTATTGTTGATCACCCAAACAATGAAATAATATACTTCCATTAAAGATGTTGCTGGGGCCCTGGCCAGTTTGGCTCAGCAGTTAGAGTATGGGCCTGCAGACCAGAGAGTCAGTTCAGTTCTCGCTAAGGGCACGTACCTCGGTTGCACTTTGTCCCTGGTCCCAGTTGGGGGTGTGTGGGTAGCAACCAGTCGATGTGTCTTTCTCACATCCATGTTTCTCTCTCTCTTCCCCCCTCTCTCCCTCCTGCTCTATCTGAAGATATATACAAAAATGTCCTCGGGTGAGGATAAAAAAATAAAAATGTTGCTGGGCCCTGGTCAATGTGGCTAAGTAGTTAGAGTGTCGGCCCTCAGACCAAAGGGTCTTGGATTTGATTTCTGGTCAAGGGCATGTACCTGGGCTGCGGGTTCGATATCTGGCCTCAGTAGGGGTGCATGCAGGAAGCAACCAATCAATGTGTCTCTCTCACATAGATGTTTCTCTCTCCCCTCACTCCCTTCCACTTTCTAAAAATGAATGGAAAAAATATCCTGGAGTAAGGATTGAAAATAGTAAACGTTGCTGAAATGCATCTATTGACATGCATAGTCATGATGTGTTAATTTAAAATGCAAGTTACCGCCCTGGCCGGTTTGGTTCAGCGGTTAGAGCATCAGCCTGCGGTCCAGAGAGACCCGGGTTCGGTTCCCACTAAGAGCATGTACCTCGGTTGCAGTTTGTTCCCAGCCCTGGTTGGGTCATGCGGGTGGCAACCACTCCATGTGTCCCTTTCATGCTGATGTTTCTCTCTCTCTCTCTCTCTCTCTCTTCCTCTCTCTCCCTCCCACTCTCTCTGAACAAAAAACAAAAAAATGTCCTCGAGTGAGGATAAAAAATAAAATAAAATGCAAGTTACCAAACAAAATGGTGTGATTCCTCTTAAAAATTATATATAGCACAGATATACATAAGAAAACTTAAAAGATATTATGAGGGTTTAATGTTTGTTACAGAGTGAACTGTGTGCCCTCAGAATTCATGTGTTGAAGTCCTAACCCCCAATGTGACTGTATGTATTTGGAGATAGGGCCTTTAAGGAGGTAATTACAGTTAAAAGAGGCCATAAGAGAGGCCACAAGAGTAGTAGAGCCCTAATCCAGTAGGACTGATGTCCTTATAAGAAGAGGAACAGACACCAGAAGTAGTTTGCACAGAGGAAA